CTGTTTATTAACTGCATCAAGTTTTTAAAAATTCTTTTGGATTCTTTTGCATGTACTCCAGTGCAGATGTTGTGTTGCCTTTCCTTTGAGTAAAAAAATGAATTTTCAGACTTGCTATTCTTAAAAATACTTGCTTCGTGTACTATGAAGGAAAAGGCGGTACAGTATATGCAGAATGTGGTATTTCTGAGTTGTCTAAGTCTTCCTTTCCTTCCTTAAAGTCTTGACACTGTTTGGAGTTGGATGATCTGACTCTGTGATAACATTCTCCTGAGTTCCAAGTTCTGAAAAGGTTGTCTTTAAGCATGGGAAAGGGGAGCATTTAGTAACGGCAACAGTCTTGGTAAGGGGAAAGATTTCTAAAGCAAAGTCAATCATATTATTAGACAAACTGCTTTAGCAGCTGTTGAAACAGCAGGAACATGTTGAGTTTGCTTCCTTGGTTGCAGAGACTGATTGTGTACTCGACCTTCAGCAGAGCAGGGTCCCATAGAGGGCATCCTTAAACAGCCCTGTCTAGTTTAGGTGAATGGTATCTGTGCTGGCTGGCAGGGTTTGAAAGCAAGAGCCTGTGAATTCCCCCAACCAACCCCACTCCATTTGGGTTGGACCCTTTTGGGCCTGGGTGGTCGCTGAGGAAAAAAATTAAATAAAGCTGCAGGGAGCTGTAGCCGTGGTTTAAGTCTAGGAGTATCCTAAAGAAAACATGACTTGTAGACTTTCTTGGAAGGCTTTCTCTTTCTCTGTCAAAGGGAAGGCTACTTTGTAATTCACCGTGCGTAATAGGCATGAGTTGATTTTAAGAAATTGGATTTAGTATCTGTTCCTAAGAACGTGTATTTGAATATGCTAAGTAGATTCAGATGGGGCATAAACTGCTTCAATGAGGCTAAATCTACCTGTATGGAGCCCTGGTGGCATAGTAGTTGTGCATTGGGCTACTAAGTACAAGATCCGTAGTTTGAAACTGCCAGCTGTTTCAGGGGAGAAAGACGTGGCTTTCTACTCCTATTTGTAATCTCAGAAACTCGCAGGGACATGTCAACGCTGTTCTGAAGGGTTGCTGTAAATTTGCATCATAACCTGCCTGTGATCAGATGTTTATGAATAATGTTGCAGAGGTTTGAGGAATGATTTTACATTAAGTTGAATTGTTGTTGACTTTGGATCTTAGCTTTTGTGCCAAGAAACCCAGGGCTATAGTTTTTCCCTTTTTAATTTATATTGTCAACTGGAAATTTTTAAAAACCAGTTCATCAATTATGATATAAATGATGGCGAATATACAAGTGCACTTATAATGTTCAGATTTTATTACTTTTTTGGCTTTAGCTGGACTGGTGCTGATTGATAGAAATAACTTTTTCAGAGAGTTTGACAATATAAAATTCCAATCCTTTGTGTGATATTAAAGCAACAACAGTCTCCTACTGATGACACAAGTTTCTCTTTATGTTGCAAGTTGCAGCGCAGAGGATTTACATTAGGCCCACTGACCCTTCACCACACTTACTATTTAATACCCCACTTAAATAGATAAAACAGGAGAATGCAGTGTATTTCATTTTATGCTGGAGATGTCCCTTTGACCCCATTTAGGTGTTTACATTGTTCATTATTTCATCTGGAATATTAATAGGAAGTGAGAATTCCTGGTTGGGATCTGTAACATATTAGACCTGCTTGATCTGTTTTTGTTTTTGTTTTTTACAGGTTCTGAACTTTGCTACCCAAGTACTAGCCCATGGGAATGTTGCAGTCAAAACCCAGAATAAATTCTAGATTTAGAATTTATTAATTCTTGTTCATTAACTCAATGTTGTAGACATCCTCCTCAGCCTAGTTGTTCATCTCTCAGCAAATGACAGCATGTAAATCACAGAAATGTTTCCTAAGAATTTGTCCCTTAAAAATGCTGTCAAGGCAAGGCCATATTATGATGAATCGAGAAGGTTCTCACTCCAGGGTGAAAATATTTGAACTTCCTTTATCAGCTTCCATTGCATTGTCTTGGCACCCTTGTCAAAAAATCATTTGTTATGCAATATGAGGGTTTATTTGTGGAGTTTCAGTTCTGTTAAATAAATCCACTTGTGTGGATTTAAACTTCTTGATTTATATGATAATTTTCCAAGGCAGGTATTGTGGGATACCTGCAGGATATATAATTACGAGACAGATTTTAGGCCGAATTCTGGGATCAAGAGTTGTAAAACAGCCGCCTTATTCATTCCTAAGTTAATAAGCATTATTCGTTTTTTGCCTTTATGTGCCTGCTCTTGTGATTAAAAGGGGAAATAAGAAATAGTCCTTGCTTTCTGAGGTATATGTAAACAGGTATTTACAGTAAGGGCTCTGGGCCTTTGATCCATTTTGAGTTTATTTTTTTATATAGTATAAGGATGTTTTATTTGAGGATATTCAATTGTTCCAGTACTATTTGTTGGAAAAACTATTTATCCATTGCATTGTCTTGCACCCTTGTCAAAAAATCATTTGTTATGCAATATGAGGGTTTATTTGTGGAGTTTCAGTTCTGTTAAATTGTCTATATATCTAGGAGTTCCTGGGTAGTACAGATAGTTAAGCACTTGACTACTATTTGAAAGGTGGATGGTTTCAATCTACCCAGCAGGCCTCAGAAGAAAAATGTGGCTGATTCCAAAAGGCCACAGCTGTTAGAGCCCAGTGGAAGACAGTTCTATTCTGAAGCAAGTAGGGTCCTCATGAGTTGGGATTGACCCTGCTTCATCTATTTTGTTGTTGTTATACCAGTCCCAAACAATCTTGATCACTATGTCTTTATACTACATTTTGAAATTGGGAAGTGTGATGAGTCTTTAAACTTTGTTACTCTTTTTCCAAGATTATATTTGCTGTACTGGCACTCTTGCATTTCCATATGAATTTTAGAATCATTTATCAAGTTAAGCAACAACAAAAAAAGAAAACCTGAAATTTTGATAAGCAGCTGCCATCAAGTTGATTCTGACTCTTATAGATCCTATATAGGGTTTCTGAGACTAAATCTTTATAGAAGCAAAAAACCTCTTTCTCCTTTGGAGTGACTAGTGGATTTGAACTAATAACTTTGAGGGTAGCAGTTTGACATTAAATCCACAATGCTACCAGGAGTGATCCTTATGTAAATTTTGGAATAGTGGCTTCTTAACTATATGAAATGAGATTTGATCCATGAACACAGGCTATCTTTTCATATTTGACTTTTTCTTTCCTACAATGGTATTTTATAGTTTTTAGTCTTATACTTCTTTTGTTAAAGTTATTCCTAAATATTTTACCTTTTTGATGCTACGTAGTTGAGGGCTGTTTTGTTGTTGCTGCTTGTTTTTAATTTCATTTTTAGATGTTCATTGCTGCTCCACTCACTGCCATCAAGTCAAGTCTGACTCATAGCAACCCTCCCTGAAGGTAGGACAAGTTAACTGCCCTTGTGAGTTTCCAAGGCTGGAACTGTTTTATGGAAGTAGAGAGCCTCATCTTTCTCCTACAGAATGGCTGGTGGTTTTGACCTGATAATCTTGCGCTTAGCAATCCAACTAGTACTTCCTTGCTCATTGTTAGTGCATAGAAATACAAGGGATTTTTGTATATTGGTCTTGCATCCTACTGCTTTGCTGAACTTAGTTATAACCTCATGATAATTTTTTTCTGTATTCAGGATTTTCTTTTTACCAAGAATATGTCCTTTATATTCAAGATTATATCATCTGCAAACAGAAATATATTACTTTTTTCCTTTGCAGTCTTGATGGCCTTTTATTATTTTTCTTAACTAAGTGTTTTGACCAGGATGTGTATTATTATGTAAGTAGAAGTGGTGAGAACAGACATCTTTACCTTGTTCTGGGTCTTAGAGAGAAAGTGTTCATTTCCACCGTGAAGTATGATTTAGCTATGAACTTTCTAGATATTGTTTATCACGTTGAAAAAGCTTCCTTCTATCCCTAGTTTGTTGACTGTTTATCAGGAAAGATCGTTGGGTTTTTTTCAGATGCTCTTTTAGTATCAGTTGAGATGATCATGTGATCTTTGTCCCTTATTAATATGTGTATTACAGTGATTGAATTTTACAAGTTTAACAAACCTTATATTCCCATGCTACAATCCCGCTTGTTCCTGTTTATATGCTGCTGAATCGCATTACTACTATTTTGTAAAGGATTTTTTATCTGTAGTCATAGAGGATATTGTTCTTGTGTTGCCTATCTGATTTTCTTATCAGAGTAATATTGACCTCATAGAATGAGTTGGGAAGTTTTCTTTTAATCTTCTCCCCTCCACCCCTTTAAGAAATTTTGATGGTTTTGTCCATGATATATTTAATTTTTTTTTCTTGTGGTAAGAATAAACATAACAAAATATACACCATCTCAACAATACCTCCATGTACAATTTGGTAACACTGATTACATATCTGTTTCACTTACTATTGCAATTGAATGAAGGCTTACAGAGCTGTTTAGTCAGCCATCTTTCCAGGAGTTTTACACAATATAATTTTAATCAAGGAAAAATTACCATCTGCCTATGACTGACAGTCTTCTCCCACCCCATCCTGTTGTTGCTGAGAGGCTGGCTGTCAGAACCCTTTTGTAAAGACTGTCCCAGCAGTTTCCATTGTAATGCTGGTACCCTACAGTATTGTGAGTGTCTTCTTGTGGAAACTGTAATCTTTAAAGTAGTATTTAACAGCTCACTTTTAAGAGTAGCTTTAATTACTAAAAATTCCTACTGTTTTTTTTTTCTCATTTTTAACTTTAGAAATGACTATTTAATATCGTATTTTCTTAGGGCCATCTGGTGGCAATATCTCATTGATTCCTGTTGTGTTCCAGACCCATACCACAAAATTGTAAGGGTTTATTACTTAAGGCCACAGCCATGGAATCAAGAGATATGGTCATCGGGCCTGTTTCCACCACTGGGCATCTTTCTGAGCCCCTGTATGATCCAGGCTGCCTCTTACCCACAGGTTCCACGTGCTCAGACTCCTCGGCCGGAATCTCCAGGGATGACCAGCCCCTCCCCGCGCATCCAGATAATCTCCACCGACCCCGCCGTAGCCTCTCCTCAGCGCATTCAGGTACCTACACTGCTCCCACTTGGTTCTGGTTACCTAACCCAGGATGACTCTCTCATCCCATATCCTCTTCCAAACCTGACCAAGGGTTTCACTAAAGATTTCAGTTAAGCATCAGTTACAAAACAGTGTCATTTTTATTACTATCCCACCCCACCCCCAGTGAAAATTTAGTACCCTTTTAGCTGTAACTCCCACTACCTCTTCCCCTTTCTCTCAAAGCATTTGCTTATTCTAGATCTTTCTTATAAGTGTAGTCACATATTCTTTTGTGTCTGACTTACTTCACTCATCATAGTATTTCAAGTTTCATTTGTTTCATAGCATATCTCAGAATTTCATTTTTCTTCATAAAAATAAATACTCCGCTGTATGCTTGATGGTTAGTGCTGTGTGTCAACTTGGCTAGGCTATGATTCTCAGTGGTTTGGCAGACATTGGGCTGATTGCTCTTCTATAATATAATCATCCTCCATTTTATGATCTGAAGTGACTAGTCTGTTTCTTTGGAGATATGGTTTTCCTTCAGTATATATGGATTTTGGGGGAAAAAGCTTGTCTTTGGATTCTGTGTTTGACTTATCATCCTCTTACCCTGCTTCTTACACTGAGGGCCTGCAACATGTCATCTGACCTGCAGATTTTAGAACTAACCAGTTCCCTCATCCCCACAAACCCATCCTCTGTCCTGCCAGGTTTGGAGTTCATGTACTCCTGGTACCATGTGTCTGGATGAATGTGAAGACGTCTCCACCTGACATCTGACCCACAGATTTGGGATGGGCCAGCTCCCAAATCTACGTGAGCTGTCTCCTTAAAATATGTTTTTCAATGTGTGTGGATGGAGAGAGAGATTAAAAATATATAGGCTTATATGGGGAGCTTCAAGAAGTAGTGGGAAAATTCCATTATCTTTTAATACTTTCTTTTCACAGACTTCTTGAAGCCCCCTCATACACACACATACATACAAGAGCAACTACAGAAGTAGTGCTACAAAATCATGGAATCATTCAAGAAACAAAACTATCAAAATATGAGGCTATTCTTCCTCAGCATATCCTTCATCTAGGTCTGTACCCTTCTAAAGGTGGTGTTTCCATCTCTCTTAGCCTTCCCTAACACATTCTGCACTTTTGGTACCCTCAAGGGACTCAATTTGTGTTCCTTTATAATGTTCTTTAAATTTGAGGAACAAAAATCAGAAAGAGCAAGAACAGGGTCATAGGATGGATGAGTTAAGGTTCCCTAAGGGAATTCTCATAAGACTTCCCCCTTGCTACCCTCAAAAACTAAGGAAGCGCATTGTCATGCTTGGATTGTCATGATACAAATTCCTTGGCACTTTTCTAGCCGTTTCCTCATTGGTACAATTAAAAATTTTTAGAAACTTGGTTCCAAATCAGCTGTACCACAATCGTCATTTCTCCTTTGAGACTATTTATTAAGATCCCTCAAAAAAAAAACATATCACCATTCTCTTCTTAGCTGACCTTTCTGCCTTGAATTAACTGCCCCAGCAGATCCCCTGGAGCCACTATTTTTTTTCTCCATGATCCAAGTGAGTTTTATGAGCTTTAGAAGAAATTTCAGGTTTACACAGCACCCGTGGGGCTCCTCCCGAACATGCGGCCTGGCTGGAAGCTGCTCAGTGGCAGGCAAGAGTGTCCCAAAGTCCCTCCAAAGCCCTTCCTGAGCGCTCCCAAAGTTCCCAGAGTTCTGCCGAAATAGTTCTCTCTCTCTCTCTCTCTCTCTCTCTCTCT